AGGATTGGATAGGATTGGATCATAGTGCATAACTGAAGCTTAATATATCCAATAAAACTTTCTCAAGCAACAAATAATAATAAGATTTAGCAACTTTAGGGGAAAAAAGGAAAAAATGTCAAAAAAAAAGCGACAATCAAAAAGGATGATGACGGATAAACTTAGCAAAGCAACTATAAAGCCGATTAACCAAAGAAAAGCGCAGCAAACCAAGGAAAACCCTAAATGCAGCCGCTCCCGAAGTCATAAACAACATCCAACATAAGTGCTCACACATTGAACCGCAAAAAATAGGGAGCAAACTGAAGAAAAATCCATCATCCATCTTGACTGAACCTTAGCAACCTCAAAAATACCTACTTTCTTATGATAAATGAATAAGCACTTGCTTACACTGATGCCTTCAGCTACCAAAGCGAGCTCAGAGAGTCGAAGCACAGAAAATGCGCCCCGGTCTTCTCAGCTAGGGTTAAGTGTACAACTAAGACGCGCGAGAGAGATATAGAGAGAGGAAGATCAGATCCAGTCGCATTTCCCTCTCCTCAATTCGCTCGTCGCCATTAGGTGTGAGGTCGGTTTCGTGACCGAGAGGGGTAGAGGCGTAAAAGAAGTGAAATAAGCTCCAGGAGAACAAGAATCATGGGGATAACCCTGCGATTTGCGTGCAATATAAAATATAAAACGCAGTTCCAATATAATCCATAAAACGTGCAAAACAAACGGGTAGGCGGCGTTTTTGAAAATACCGTCGCACTTATAAGCTGCCCCAAACAGGCCCTTATAAAAGCAGAATTAGCCAAAAATTGATCCAATCTCTGATGAAGAAAACACCTCCTCGATGAAGAAAACACCTCCTCCAAGTATAAGGAGATCTAGAATATCCCAAGTCATAGAGACCTGCACTAGAAATAGAGTTAGAAAACCTATTAATAAGAGCAGCATATGCATAAAAATGTGTATTTCACATTTAAAATTAGTTAATCGCTAATAATTTTATGTGATATGTAAAATTTGGGTGTATCAATGTAAGAAATAAAATTTCCCGCTATGTGGGGTCCATGAATCCTTTTTCTCCATTACGTCCTAATAAGTGTCATATTTTCATTTAATTCTAATAGATTAAGATCATTTTTTATGCCCATGTGATTTTAGGTCTACCTCTGTCTTACTTAACATAAGTGGAATATAAAACATTTATTCTCCTAACAAGACCATCAGATGGTCGACGTTTAATGTGATCAAGCTATCTGGGACGACAATCTGTAATCTTGTCTGCCACTGGAGCTATGACAACCCTATCACGGATATATTTATTTCTCATTTTGTCTCTTAGTGTCAAGTCATTTGTCCACCTAAGCATTCTCGTCTCAACAACACTTAATTTTGTTTTATTCTTCATTTTTAAAGGCCAACATTCTACTCCATAGAGCATTACAGGCTTCACCACCTTCTTATAAAATTTTCCTTCAGTCAAAATGGTGCTTTTCCATCACATAATAGGCTCAATGCATTCCTTCACTTCAACTAACCAAATTGAATTCTACTAATAACATTCCCATCTATATCACCGCCACTTCGAACAGTAGACCCAAGATATCTTAAACGTTCACACATTTTAATGATATGATCATCATAAATTACAGCTGACATTGCAGTGGGAATGATAACCTTTGAATTTATTTAAAATTATATTTTTTTAACATGAACCGATGGTACCAAAATAGGAAAAATGAGTAATTTATGAACCCTACAAAGATTTTTAAGCCTATTAAGGGAGATAGGGTCCGCCACTCCCCTAATATTCCATACCATAATATTAAACATGATGACGTGAACCAACCCTTCTAGAAGATCTCGTAGAGTTGACCAACTGTTCCCCATCAGAGTGATAAAAAGATCTCATAGAGTTGACCAACTGTTCCCCATCAGAGTGATAAATTCCTTCATAAATAATGTTACTATCATTAAGTCTAGATAGCTCATTATTACGTTTAGCCTTTTTTGTGAATGCTTTTGTACCTGCCACTCATTTTCCAATATTATAGTAGCATTAGATAAAGAGGTATTAATATCAACAATATCAAAAAAAGCTCCAACTATAGAAGGGTGAACCATAGTATTAGGGGAAGTTGAATTTCCATTATCAGTAACATTATGGACCACTATCATAGTTGTTTCCATAGACTCCTCAAAAGCCACATTATCATTGTGCTCATTTGAATCTTCAGCCAAAACAATACCTTCATTAATCTGCTATTGTTTAGGGTTAACATAAGTGCAATTATGTAAGGTATCAGTACCTTCTTTACCTTCATTGATATGCAATTGTTGAGGGATAGTATCATTGCTATTATGTAAGGCTTCTGTACCTGAAGAATGCAAGTTAGAAGTGGCATTATTAATAGCAGGATTTTCAACTGAATCAACCCCATTTTCAACGCTAGGCGGGATATCATGATGTTCAATATTTATGTTGGTAGCGGGTAATATAGTGTGTGTTTCATTGTGAGAGTTTTTGAGTTGAGGATTCAATAAAAAACAAGATGTGGCTTGGTGGCCGAACCTATAATAGTGAGTGCAGTAAGGAGAATGCCTTTCAATTTCAGGCCGAACCTATAATAGTGACTGCAGTAAGGAGAATGCCTTTCAATTTCAACGGGCTGCCAGTAACCTTGGTGTTGCGATCCTATCCAAATTTAATTACAAAATGGTTGTGTTATGTCTCGTTCAACCAAAATACGTGCTTCAGATGTTCTTGATAAAGTAAATGTAGCAGGATCCATTTTCAAAGGCTTGACATAAGCAGTAGCATGCAAGAAAAGTATCTCATAGTTAAGAAGATGAAGTTTATGCCCTGAAAAACAAATCCAAACAGGTATAATAGGAAATTCTGATTTTGGGTCAAAATTAACAGACCATTTCCGAAATTTCATAATGTTGTTTTCTATCCACATAATCCTTTTAGCAAAAAGACGTGTGTAGTCCTCATCATTAGCTAATTGTATAAAGATATGTCTACCATATATGATACCAATCATCCACCAGCCTTTTAATTTTAACATTTTAAATTCTCTCCTGATCAACTCAACTTTAGGTGTACCGTATGTAAATTTACCAACTTGGGCGAGGAGACAAGAAGAGGCAAGTATGGGAGTTTCATCCTCAGCCACAAATAACCCAAGTTTTCTGTTCTTTTTCCCCAATTTCTTGATGAAAGTATAATCCCCTCCAACAATAAGAGTGTCATGAAAATTTTGCGGAAACAACTCAGTGGTAGGAGTGGTCGAACTACCACCCCCATTTAATACAACATCAATAAAAGATCGAGGTACTGGAGGCATAACAAAAAAGCAAGATGAGAAACAAAGAAGCGTGAAGGAATGATCTCACCAGCAAAGGAGGAGAACAAATTTGTCATGGATCCCAGAGCAAAACCTAGCCGCCTCTCCCACCATCTTCATATTATATATATATATATATATATATATTTATATTGGTAAAAAGAGCAGCTTGTGGCTCCTTAAGCGTTAATTAAAAAGATATTACAAAATTTGGGAGGGATAGTTGATCCCCATCTAAACGCAAAAAAATACAATATAGCCTTAGGGGTTCCAGTCTCCACATTACAACGCAACTCAAAAGCAATAACAAGCCTAAAGAAAAAAAAAACTATCTACATAATACATGTAATCGTCCAAAATGTATACCACAAAAATAGTATGCCCAAAAAAAAAACTACATGCACACGAAATCCCAATCCAACAGTACTTTGTAACAACAACATCAACATAAAGGATTTTAATTCCGGTGAGAAGACATAAATCGAAACTTGAAGAAAGGACCGCATTGAGCAGAAATTGTAGTGAAGGATCCCTAGCAATCTCGGTGTATGATATAAATCCGATAAAGCCAACATCCATCATCAAGTTCCTGCATAAATATACATCTAATCCTGCAGAAAATAAGATCCAAGTGTCTGGAATGTAAGAGGGAGGAGAAGAAAATCGCCACTCCAAACCCATTACATTCTTGTATCGAGAAATGAAAATCCAGCAAACAGTACCGAGCCAAATGAAGCATCTCTGTGGAGCAGGTGGAGACCAAACCATAAGCAAAAAAAAAAAAAAAAAAAACACCAAACCAATCAGCTATTAGCATTCCTAATATAAGGTTCAGCCATTAAATCCCCATGAAGTAAAACCTGTAAAGGAGAGGGAGGCATCGTATCGACTAAGATCGTGGAGGTGGAGGCACCGCGTTTTGCCACCCAATTAGTTGACCTATTACCTTCGCGATGAATAAATCTCCAAAGAGCCTTCAGCTTATCACCATGGAGTAAGAGGGCAAAAGGGGTAGGAGGTCGTGTATCAACATAAATGGAGTTTGCATAGATTCCTTGTCTAGCCAGCCAATTAGCAGGATGGTTTCCTTCTCTGTATATGAAAGACATTTGGACTGTCAACTTCTAGTAAGGTTTATCAATTTTCTGCTTCCATTGCATATGATGCCAATAGGATAGCTGATCAGTGGTAAACAAGGTGATCAGCTGTAAAGAGTCTACCTCAATCCACACTTTCTGCCATGTTACTTTCTGTGCAAATGTAAGGGCCCAACAAGCAGCAATGAGCTCAGCTTCAAGAGCATCATTGGCCATTGTAGGAGCATGAAAGAATAGCAGACAATTGCTAGAGGAATTTCTGAAAACCCCCCACCCCTGCACCCCATTTAGAGAAGCTACCATCACTGTTAATTTTCATGGTTTGAAAATTAGGAGGTTTCCAAGTGACAGTCTCAATTCTATTGTGACTATTGATGGCACTGATCTGAGACAGACTTATGCTTGGGAACTTCTTAAGCTGGATTAGCTTATTTAAATAAGAAACACAGTTTCTAGTCACCTTGGTGTGTTGAGAAATCATATCTTCATGTTTGTTGTTGTTCCTACACATCCACAAGAACCAAGCCACAATGAAGGGGAGAGACTCCCCTTGTTTACTTTTCTAGCTATGCCAACCAGCTTTAAGACTAGACCAGTCCTTATCCAAGTTCTCACCTTTAATCTTAGTAAGGAGTTTTTTCCACACCTCTTGAGCAAACTCACAATTGAAAAACAGGTGGTCATTATTCTCTTCAGATTTCAGACAGAGATAACATCTAGAGGGTCCTCTTAATCCATTAAGTTTAAGAATATCATCAGTTGGCAGGAGGTTGTTGAAGAATCTCCAACAGAAGAAGGACATGGAAGGGGATAGAAATCTGTTCCAAATGTATTCACCCCCATCAACCTTATCCCATTCACTCAAATTAGCATATATAGCTTTAGTCAAACTTTGGTTAGTGTAGCTGTGCCTTATGATTCTATCTTTTCTGCCTTTATCAAACATAGTCTTAGTGACTTGAGATAGGTCAGGCTCCTGTAGAATGGATTGAAGCTTAGGAACATCACAGGAGTCCCCATCCCAAAGGTCACAGACTGAGAGTTGAGGGTTAAAGTCTGAAGGGGAGGGCCCAAGCCAGTCCTTTGGGCACCAGTTGTCAAGCCAAAGGCTCACTTTGCCATTCCCCAAATCCCATGTATACATGTCTTCAGCTAGCTCTCTGATTTTTAGCATATTAGTCCAGATTCTTGAGTTCCCCAACTTTTTGGTAATTAAGAAAGGGTGCTGGCCCTTGCAATACTTGCTATACATGAATTTGGCCCACAGGGAAGTTTGTGTTATGAAGTGAATCCAAATCTTACAGAAATTTATTTGTGCTACTTGTTGGAGACTCTTGAATCCCAGCCCACCAGCTGCAATTGGTTTGGCTAACTTGTGCCATGAAGCCCAGGGTAGCTGCTGGCCTTGGACT